CTTTTACTAGATAATGATGAGTAAATATTATATGAATTTGTAGCATTTAAATTTACTTAAACATTAGCGCAAATTTGTTAGAGGATTTTTTCAAGGACATCTTACAAGCTATTTTTTCAGTGCATCCACTGATCTCTTTCTCCATCTCAGTCGTTTTTCAGAAATCCAAATACATTTGTGCTTTCTTCGCTTCCCATACAGCGTTTAGATATTTATCATTTTCCTAATCATGTGAGTATAGGCCACACTTTGAAGCAGGCTAGACAGCAGCTGAAGATGGACAAAGCGAAAGCCAGAGCCACGTTCCTGAGCTGCAACAAAAGCTAAATGGTCTTTCAGTCTGTTCACCTGGACACGAGCCTTCAATAAAAAAATGAGTTATTCACCCTGAAAATAATATTTTTTTAGTCAAAGCACAACACATTGAAGTTAGAGTTCAGGRCACAGCGAGGGAACGGAGGGATGCTTGGTTGTGAAAGAGAAAGCAAGTGTTACAGTTTAGTGTTAGTGAAATTTAACGCAGTGTTTTAATTGAATTGAGGTTTTCAAAAGATCATCTTGGAGCTCGCGGTGTGGGAGGAAGCAATTTGGCTCCTTATCCTAAGAAACAGCAGTAACCACAACACAAAACCCCAAACACTGGCAGCCGGAGTGATAAGCARCCACGAACAAAAGGAAAAATGGAGCTTTCAGATGTGCAAATCAATCACGCTTGAAGCTGTTTGATTTAAATGATGAATGATCGAACACTGAACTGTTTCATATTTACATTTGGAAATGATCTTGTTGGTGGTTCGATTCCAGTCAGCAGACGGGCTTCAGACAGTCGTAACTATCTGCTGTTCAGAACATTTGCAATATTTATCTTGACACAGAGAGATTATTGTAACTTAACCTGAATAAACGCACATCGAACATCTTGTTGACTGAAAATGAGTCTTAGTTTAGCTTCTCTGGGATTCATCCTCTGGCAACAAGAAGATTTTCACACATATTGTCAAAGCACAGTTTTTGAAACATCAAACAGTAACAMACGAGGCAGATCTTTGAAGACATATTCATAAATTATTGATAGTAATCAACCACATATGGTTGAAACTATAAATATTTTCACAATGTCGCTGGCAAAAAAAAAGGGAAAACAAATCAGATACGTGCATCAAATGTTTCTCAATGTACCAAAAAAAAAAGGTTCAAAAATTACAAAAAACCTGCATTTAATCTGAAATAAWGATCACATAAACGGGTTTGATTGTTTCAGGGTGCAGATTGAAAACAGAGGAGAGAAGCAGCTRCAAATCAGAGCCYGACTCGTTTATAATACGACCGATATTAACTCAGATATTTAATTTCAAGCTAATAAATGATGTGTTGTTTTTAAACTACACGCCTGTTTTTTCGATTCGCCTAACAATAGGCTTGATTAGCTCWATTTAGTCACATGCAAAAGAGGGCCTTGTGCATGTGACTAAATAGAGCTAATCAAGCCTATTGTTAGGTGATGGCCCTCTTTTGCATGTGACTAACCTGTTTGTCCAGGTGGAGGCAGTGCTTATAAGGCTGAGTTCACCTGAAACTCATCAGACTGAAGAAGTCTCTTGGAGGAGAGATGAAATGTTTCACTAAAGAAGAACCCATCCAGAGGACCTACTTATTTTTTCTTTTTTGTTTGTTTTTTTCTACCTGGATTACTGAGATGTATCAGGATACTTAATTTTTATTTCATTCCAACATTTTTTCATTCCAGATTGAAATTGATCAAAGAAAACCATTTATATAGACATATATTGGATATAATGAATTGTGGTTGGATGAGAAGTATAAATCCATTCTGGCACACTTTAGCAAAGACATAGCAGATGTAAGTAGCCTAGTATTAAAATGACTTTATTTATAACATTCTAGCCTTGGTGTGGTTGTGCACTATAAAACGCTGTGCCTCGACCTAAGCTTTAGGCCTGATTGCTTTCAWGCAGCAGTCAACTCAAACTCTGCATTTTCAAAACATGGAAAACAYGGGCCTAAACTGYGGCACTGATGGTCAAAGTGACACATTCACTTTGCAGAAGCCTCTCACCGTGCCAAAACATTACAACGYATGAAACAAAAGCAAATATTGCCTCCAAACCACACAACTTGTCTGAGCTCTTTCAACCAGTCATTACAGCACTCAGTGCAGTGATGCTGGTCTTTGTAGCCTGTTACATCACGTTCATACCATTTGTTATCTTTCCACACAGTTCCACGCTGGTTTCCACACAACATGTCCACAAATGTTTCTTCTTGCAAAGAACTGGTCAGTTAAAAAATGCATTGATGCAAATGTTGTTGATTCCATTACATTTTTTTCAAATTGGCTGAATAATTTAATACTGTAAATATTACAGACAATACTGTTATTAAACTATAAACCTACCACAGAATAAGAAATTAAAATAAAAACAAAATCTTAGAGTATAAGAAATGCCCACTATTGATAATCACTCTCTTCTGTCTTGCCTCCATGCTGGTAAAAAATAACACAGACATTTGAAAGCGTGCAGACTGACGGCCAAGTACAGATTTTTTGTGAAGGAGTGTCAAACAGGTGCTTCAGTGATTTCATACGGACCCAGTTAACTTCTAATAGTTAGGAACAGGTGGTTTGTGTTTGGTTAGCACAGCTAAAACAATGTTTGAACTGCTTGAATGAAGCATTAGAAAATGTGTGAATCCAGTGAGAAAGGGTTAATACATCTGCAAGAGCTGACTTCTGCTCTGCTGAGAGAGTGATGACAAAAACTGATGAGCTTTTTAATTTTTAATTTTACTTTATACTTAAGTAGTTTTAAAACCAGTACTTTTATACTTTTACTTAAGTAAAAAGCTCGAGTTACTTCAGCTTCTTTAGAAAAATGTTTAAACCCTATCTATACTTCTACTTCTGACACTTCTGGATAACCGTTATCCCCAGATATTTAGCTTTGCAGCAACATAATCCATAAAATTTTTAGTCCAGAAACACTCAGCAACTTTCAGACTAAATCAAATGCTCCGAATGATTATAATTCCTAAAACAAGCAGCAGTATTGCGTAACGCGCAGACATTCGRCTGTGTTTGTCTGTCATCTACACATAAACAGCCTTTTGAATGAGAAAAACAGATTGTTTTCACAAATGCTTTCCTAAACAAAACACGTTTTAAGAACTTTCCTTTAAGTATTTAACAAGTAGGAGATTAGAGGCAGACAGCCATTTGGGAACGTTATTTTTAAATTCGTTTCAGCCTTGCACCCACTCGACAACTTTAAGTCTGACCTCGAGTGAAAAATCCCGAAACAATATTCTTGCATTTTTATGAGGACAGCAAAATGCAACCGTTTGAAAACGACAATATGGTAAAAACAAACCTCTAATCTGACCTTTGACATAATTAAAACATCTGCAGAGAAAGCAGTTAACGGATCACAAGTTGTGGTCAATAACATGATAAAATGAGTGTTTCCACTTCTCTGGTTTGAGGGTTTTGGAGTAAAATCTCAAAAGAARGTATGGGAAGAAACTTGTGCCAACAGAAACTGAATTTGAATTAATCAGTCTGAATCTGTACTTGCATCATTTGAAATTAAATGCATTAGTTTCGGTGGTGGGCACCAGCCCGCTAAAGCGCAAATCTGCTAATTGCGGACCTAAATATTTTGTTTGCGCTTTAGACAAAGCAGCAGCCGAACTAGCAATCCTCAACAACTTTTTAATTTTTACACCAGGAGCTAAAGGTCTGTTTCAGGAAATCACATCCCCAGCAATTGGCGCTTGTAGAATTAAGTTGTAAAAGGGTTCATACACCGCTAATTGGCAGTGTTGTGCATATATTGTACATGAATTGTTGCCAGCTAGTAAGTGTCAAATTGAACTTGCGCTTTAAAATTGGCTTCCACTTGTTTTTCTATGTCATGGGCGCTTTTGAAGTTGCAGACCTAAATATTTTCATAAGCGTTTTAGAAATTGCKGAGCTAAATTTTGGATTAGTGCTGTCCACCACTGATTAGTTTGAACATTAATTTCACTGAACTAAAACTGAATTTAATAGTTTGAATCTGAATTAATTTGCTTTGAAACTGTATTTTGTCAGTTTGGCATTTTCACTAATTTCACTTTCAGTGCTATAATTCAATTTCAKTTCCAAATAAACAGTTTTTTTGTGTCACACATACTGGTCCGAGAAAGCCACAAAGTAATCAAACAATGATTGACAGATTTACACTTCACATCAGTGAAACTTCCTTGTGAGTTTTTGTCCGTACACCACTGTAAATACACCTTTACTCTGAGCTATGACACGAGGGTAAAGAATGTTGAATTCCACTTCTCTGGTTTGAGGTTTTGGAGTAAATTCCTGAAAGCAGGCAGCTGAGAGAAGCAGATTTCAATAAGCCACGAGAGCGTTAAAGATGTCAATCGACACAAACTACAATGTTACTTCAGGTGACAGAACTGTCTCAGAGTTTTGGGTGTTACACTCTTCCAAAACAAACTGGGGAAAAAAAGCAACATTTGTTCTGCCTGTGGATTTGTACAAACAAGCACTGTCATGTTCAGACTGGAAAGGCCAAAACACAGCTGCAGGCTCACTAATTTCTGTGGGATTAATTGCAACAAATGTACCGAGTCAAAGTAACAAAAGCAAGTCATGATACGGGAAGCATTAAAAAAAAAGGACAGCGGGGGAACTCCAAGCTGGTTCTCATCATCCCATTCCTCAAGATTTATTTTTCTTGTCACAATTAACAATCAGCTTAAATGAAATTCTAACAGCGGCCTGGATTTTTTTTATTTTCTCTCCTTCAACTTCAAGGAGGAAAAAAGCAGAGCTGTTCACCCTGTGGAACAATCGGGGAGTTCAGCTGATCTCGCAACTGTTGTCCAAAAACAGTGAGTCACCGATCAGTTTAAATAAAATTATAAACATCCAGCCGCAATCTGTTGAGCAGATGTTACAGAAACCCCCGCTATTATCATCGTTTCAGCAAAACCCACAACTCGTGAAGCGAGCTTTAGGAGCAACAAAACAACACAAATAATGCAGAAATTACTTAAGAACCTAGCATATCACCCATCTCCTTTCATGCCAGATTTTTAGGCGAAGATTGTCTCATGTTAAGAAATGACTCATCTATACTCCCATGTCAAATTTTGCTTAAAATTTTTGTAAAACAGCTGAATTGTAATTGTTGACAAGCTGCGGCAGCCATCTTGAATTCCACTGACTCTATTAATCAATGGTTTATGAGATAGTTTGCTAACAAGGCGGGTTGACTCCAACTATTGTTTTAGTTTTACACAAAAATATTGCACAATGTGTCGTGCTCATTGTATGTGTTGTGAATGACTCTCAGCTGAAACTCAGGAAAATCTTTGTGTTTTGGTCAGTTGGCTGTGGCGGCCATCTTGAATTGTCGAGGTAGATTCAATGATTAATCTCTAAAAATGTCAATAAAATCCATCCTGTTGTTCAGGAGATATTTTGGTTCCAGGTGAGCAAACAATCAGGCAAAGACATTATTCCCCTCTTTTAATTTATAGATGTGAAGTAAATGTCTTGTTTCTGAATATTTGTTTGACTTGAGGTTTTATCACAAGACCTCTAAATGTGGCTTTAGCTTTCTGTGAATATGTGGTACCATCATATGAGTCATATTTCAGTAACTAATAAAGAGCAGATGTGACCACAAGGTATAAAGGCAGAACTTGTTCGTTGAGAGTCGATGTGAGTCGATTCAGTTCAGCTGTAACAACACATATCTCCCTCTAGATGCGCAGGCCGGGACTAATCTRAGGTCGTTCGGAGGAGCGGACGGTTTTCACAGAGCCAGGAGGGACCAGCAGAACCAGCGACAGCACAGAGAAACCACTCAGGCCAGAGGAAGAGTTGATGTCACCACTCTTCCAGACAACATGACCCGTGTAGTGGTGAGATGCTCGGCCATTTTCCATGACAGTGTTGGATTTCAACCGACCAACATTTTCTTACATACCTAAGCTGCGGTACCAAAACATGTTGAGCTGATTCTAAATGAGTTTATGAAAACATTAAAAGAAATTAAATCGAAATGACCCAAGGGCTGCAGGAGGGTTTTAATTAACCTTACAATGATTAAATTCCCCGTTTTTTATATTTGCATGATGAAGAGGAAAAACTGAATGTATGTTCTATCCTGGGAACGCCTTATATCCTCCAGGAGGATCTGGAGAGTTCTGAGTAAAGGAATGTGGGGTTTCCCTCCTGAACCTGTAGGCTCCACATCCCCACCACAAATAAACAGCAGGGGTGAGTGAGTGAGTGAGTGAGTGAGTGAGTGAGTGAGTGAGTGAGTGAGTGAGTGATGGATGGATGGATGGATGGATGGATGGATGGATGGATGGATAGTGTATAGATGCATGGATGGACAGATGGATGAAAGGATGGGCAGAAGGATAAATGGAAGGACTAATTGATTGACTGATGGACGGACTGACTGATGAATGGAAAAATTGATGGATTTATGAGTGGATTGGTTGGTTGGTTGGTTGGTTGGTTGGTTGGTTGGTTGGTTGGTTGGTTGGTTGG